TGTCTTATAAATGCATGGTGAATTTTTGAATTAGTCTAAATTTTAAGATTATATTTTATGCATATTCACGCATAGAATCCATGAATGTATGCAGTTCGCTTCGATGTTAAAAAAATATACCTTGTAAAAATTAAATGCATAGTGATTTTTAGTTTACTTAAAATTGTTAGATTAATTTCTTATTTTATGTATGCAATTCGTTAAAACTTTCACTTTAAAAAATTTTTATTTTTAGAATACTTTAACTTTTTAGATTTTATTTACATGTATGCTCGAAGGCAATTTGTTTCTGTTAAAAATATAATTTGCAAAAAGTTAACATTCAGGCATATTGTATTTCTGATCATTTAGATGTTAAAACTTTAACTTGTAAAACTGAATTCATGACGAATTTTTTAGATTGCGTTAAATTTTATGCATAATTGCATGCATGTATGTGGTTCGCTTCGATGTTAAAATATGACTTGTAAAAAAATGCATGATGAATTTTTATTTTTAGATTCATTTTATGCATGCATGCACACAATTCGTTAAAATGTTATAAATTCACAGGGAATTTTTAGATGATTATGTATATTATTCGTTTCGATGTTAAAAACTTATTTCTAAAGGGTTCGATTTTGGAATTTAAGGGAAAATGTTTGTGTTTCTGTATTTAAGGTGGTCTATAAAGGAAAGGAGAGGTCTCAGCGGATCAATTTGTGGCTTCACGATGGACATTACGATGTGATCAAATCTCTAAAAGAGTTTTTGCCAGCAAATACTACTGCACAGCATGTGAAAAGCCGTATGATCATCCGGAAAGCCATAGATGTGCCAATGCCTGTCCCATATGTCTGAGGACCGACTGTGCTCCAGGCGTACCCCGAACGATGTCAGGATTGCGACCGTCTGTGCCGATCGGATGCCTGCTTTGAAGCACACAAAGCCGTCACTGGAAACCAAGAGTTTTCGCTTTGCGATAGAGTAAGTATTTTTGAAAATTTATCTTAATGACTAAAGTTATTTATCATATAAGTTTCTCCAAATGGTTGTGTTTTAAAAAAAAATAATTGTCGTTACAGGTATACCAATGCAGGGAATGCTGCCAAGTGATCCGGAGGCGGGATTGCTGTAAAGAGTTGCATAAGTGCGGAACCATCAAATGTCCGTCTTGCGGCCAGTTTGTCGTGGCTGCTGAGCACCGCTGTTATTTGCGACGTGTTGCTCCGAAGAAGAAGTCCGAGGATAAGCTTATCTTCTTTGACTTCGAAACGGACCAGTCTTCGGGGGAGCATCTCGTAAATTTCGCGGTGGCTCAGTATGCCGACGGCACAGAGAGAAGGTGTTTTGTTTCGGGACACATGGCATGCCAAGATTTCTGCGCCTGGCTTTCTCCACAGAGCACAAGGGGTACACCGCCTTGGCTCATAACATGAAAGGGTAAGATAAAATACTATAGTTTGCATGCTTTAAGCATGACTATTTTTTCAATATTATTCATAATTTTTTTTTTACTTACAGGTTCGACGGACAGTTCGTGATGGCCTGGCTCCTGGAGCAAGGCACAGCGCCGGAGGTGATTCCTAACGGTCTATGATCATGTGTTTAAGATATCCTAGTCTGAACATTCGGGTCATAGACTCGTTAATTTTTCTACCGATGGCGTTGGCCAAGCTACCGGGATGCTTCGGTCTCACGGAATTAAAAAAGGGATACTTTCCCCATCTTTTCAACTCCCGAGAAAACCAGAGTTATGTCGGACCGCTGCCTGAGGCACGGTACTACAGCCCGGACACCATGAGTAGTCCAGCCCGAAAGGCATTTCTATCCTGGCACGAAGAACACAAGGGGGATGTATTTAACTTCCAAGCAGAGATGCTGGCCTATTGCAGGTATATTTTTTCCCTCCTTTATTCTTATTTATTTAAGATTTTGTTTTTTATTCTTATATTTTATATTTCGTATTTTTAACATTTTTTCTTTTTAATAGATCGGACGTGGACATTCTTCGCCGCTGTTGCCTGGAGTTTCGAGCCCAGTTTTTGGATGTGGCGAATGTGGATCCATTCCAGTAAGTTATTTTCTCATTTTTTATACAATAATAATCATGTTTACAGTTATGTTCTTATAGAATAATCATGCTCATGAAGTTGTTTTTTTCTTTTCAGATACGTGACCATTGCGTCAGCCTGTATGGCAACGTATCGGAGTGGCCACATTCAGCCCGACACGATTGCCATGGTGCCCACGCACGGCTACGTCAACTCCACGAATTACAGCCCTGATTCGATCCGATGGTTGGACTTTGTTGCTGCTTCGGAAGGCATTGCCATTCAACATGCGTTGAACGGTTCCGGAGAGCACAGAATCGCCGGAATCTCGGTAGACGGTTTCTGCCAAGAAACTGAAACCGTCTATCAGTTTCAGGTAAGAAAATATAACCATTTCCTTTTCTATGTGATTCTTTTTAATGATTTTACACTTTTAATGTTAATTTACATGTGGAACCCTATTAATATATTTGTATTATTTTAGGGCTGTTTCTTCCATGGGTGTAGTTTATGCTACGATGGTGATATCATACATCCGCTAAAAGGGGTTTCCATGGCAACGTTAAGAGAAAAGACAGAAGAGACGACAAGAAAGCTTCGCACCCAGGGTTTCCACGTCATAGAAATGTGGGAGCATGAGTTTCAGAAGAGAAAAAGAGGAAAATCCAGATCTCCAAGCTTTCCTGGATCAACACCATCTGAGGGACCGGCTCAATCCTCGCGAGTCGTTTTTCGGAGGAAGGACCAATGCCCTCAAATTGTTCCACGAGGGAGACGCAAAATATGTGGATTTTACTTCACTCTATCCATGGGTTCGTACTTTTTATTATTTCAAAAAATGTTTACTTAAACTTTTCTAAATTTTCTGTATATTTTTATGATGTGTTTTTTCTGACTTTTTTGTTTTCATTCACAGGTGAACAAGTATTGCGTCTACCCTGTGGGACATCCAACAATCATCACGGAAAGCTTTGGAGATGTGGAAGATTATTTTGGAATTATCCAATGCCGAGTGATTCCTCCACGGAATCTGTATCTTCCGGTACTGCCCTATCGGTGCCGGAAGAAGCTGATGTTCCCCCTGTGTGTCGGACTTGCGCCCTTCTTCAACTGCAGACTCCGTGTACCCACACAGACGACGAGCGAGCTCTTGTCGGAACGTGGGTAACGGAGGAAGTCAAACTGGCGAAAAAGAAAGGCTACCGCATCACACATGTAAGTACTCAAAGATTATTTTAATCTTTATTTAGTTTCAGAGGTTACTTTTAAAAATTTTTTATAACTGACATTTATTTTTTATTTTCTAGATTTACGAAGTGTACCATTTCCAGGCATCGTCTACTTCTCTGTTTCGTTCCTACATTGATCTGTTTCTGAAGATCAAGCAGGAAAGTAGCGGATGGCCTTCGGAGTGTGTGACGGAAGAAGCCAGACTGAAGTACATTCGCCAGTATGAAGAAAGAGAGGGCGTCAAGTTGGAGGCCGAAAAAATATCGAAAAACCCTGGGCGTCGCCAAGTTGGCCCTGAACAGTTTCTGGGGCAGGTAAGATGATTTCTTTTGTACTTAATTTTTATAAATATTTTTAATTCGTTTGTGATTTATGATAGTTTTTTTTTCACTCAGATGGGGTATGAACGTGAACAAAGCCCAACTGACCTATGTCCACACGGTGCCAGACTTCAATAAGATGTTGGCGGATTCTACTAAAAAAGTAAGTTTCCTTACCGATTTTATTCATCTGTAAACTCAATGTGTTTCAAACTGTTAACTTATGACTATTTTGAACTGTTACCTCATGACTCTTCTATTTTTTAGATCAAAGATGTCTTTCTTCCCACGCCTGAGGTGGCTGCCATTTCCTGGGAATCTGCGAAGGAGTTTGTGCCGCAGGATGCCTCTACCAACATTTTCCTAGCGACCTTCACAACAGCTTGGGCTCGTCTCAAGCTGTATAGTGAAATGGAGAAGTTGGGTAGAGATGTCCTGTACCACGACACAGACTCCATCATCTATGCCTCGAATGGCCGCAATGATCCCCCCTTGGGCAACTTCCTGGGTGAATTTACGGATGAACTGGAGGGTGATGTCATCAAAACCTTTGTCTCTGGTAAGGACCTTTAAAAAATTTCTTTATTTAACATGTACCAAAAATCTTGAAAGTTTTTCTGTTATGTCTTTTTCTCACCATGTTTTATTTTTTTTTCAGGAGGTCCGAAAAACTATGCGTACCAGACGGCCACTGGGAAAACCTGCTGCAAAGTCAGAGGATTTTCGCTGAACTTTCGCAATTCCCAGTTACTGAACTTTGAAGCCATCAAAAGTCTGGTATGTAGTCTGGACCAAAAGGATGTCATAGCTCTGCACAACCCCTCCAAAATCACCCGTGAACCAAAAAGAAGAAAGGTCATCAATAAACCAGAAACAAGACTATACAAAATTGTGCTCGACAAACGAGTGATACAGAAAGACTTGAGCACCTTACCATTTGGATTTTAAAAGAAAGACTATTAACTATATTATAATGGCTTGTACAAAAAAATGTTTGCATGTAAATATACATTATGATACATCCAGTATCTGTAAATGAACGTAAAATAAAATAGAAGTTTGAATGATAAAATAGTGGTGTTTTTTCTTTTTTCCTTTGGAAAAGATGCCATGAAAGGTAAGTTTTTTTTAAATATTTTTTTAGAAAATAATGGTTATGATTATGTATATATTAGTTTAATCAGAAAAAAAATGATTTTATATATTAACTTCATCAAAGAAAAACATAACACAAATAATCAGAAATTAACTTTTATTATGAACATTTCATTACAATTTCAGCCATAGTTTCGAAGAGGATTTTCTTTTAGGTCTAGCATACATCGTTTTTACATTCATTAAATGTTTGTTTTTCACAAAGTCTTGAGGAAAGTTATTCACATTCAGTACATTTTTAAACTGTTCAAAGGCAGTAGGTCTTTTCAGTTCTATTTCTCAACAGAAAGTTTATCAGTTGAACAATGTTGGACCCAGAAAACACATGACCGTCCAGAATCAGTTCTTTATTGTGTGTCCAGGAAATCTGATGTTCTTTTAGGAAATCCATTATTTTCTGTGCCGTTCTTTTCTGTTTCACAGGAACAGTCTGCAAAATTTCCTTTCCTACATCTGTCTCAGAAAAATGTTCAGACGGTTGTTTTTCAGACGCATTCACATGAGGAAACGTAACATACTTTTGCAGAACCTGGATGTACAATTTGGTTTTTCTTCATCGTCCATTTTCTTTTTTAAGATGTTTTGAATTTGGGTATCTAAATCACTCAAATGTTCATCTTCAACTGGTGCATACGATCCAGGGGTACCAGGCAAATTTCTTACTGTGTTCCATGGATAAGAGAGGATAAGACACTGACTGCTGCAGGATGCAGGAATCAGGAAAGATAGAAAACCGTCACCTTTTTGAACCAAAAGACGTCTTTTCTTAAAAAGAGGTACTTTTTTGTCCGCTAGTTTTCTTAAAGTTCTTTTAAAAGGGGCGAGAGTCGATTTTTGACGCGTTTGGTGATGGGTACGTTTCCTTTTAGAAGATTTAAAACACACTCACAAACTGATTTGATGATGATGATGATTCGGACACTTTTTCAGTACAGCTGCTTTTATTCGACTTTTTCCTAATAGTTTTAGATAATCCACATCCTTCAGATGAGACATTCTGATGACAAATGAGCTCTTTTCTTGCACACTTTCTTTTATATAGGTAGCAAATGCAGCCGCTTTGGTTAAAGCACAGCAATTAAATCCTTTTGCATGAATCGAACATGTTAAAGAACTTTTCTTTTTTAAATTCTCTATCTTAGGACAGTCTAGATTTATGATGTCTCTACATAATAAATTTTCTAAAAATAATTTCTTTTCTAATCCTTTCACGTATATGACAGAATAAATAGATGACAAATATTGCAAAATAATACGAAGATGAGTATAAGGTAAAACACCCTCACTCCAATTCACATGATGACGATTTCTTGTGACCCAAGCAAAACACTTTTGCTGAGATCGTGATAATGTTTTCCAAGGCTTGAGGAGGTAAAAATGACCAGCAACTGTGATATCCTTCATGCACGGAGTGTAAAAAGCTAAAAAGCTAATTCTTTAACAATGTAACAATGAGGCATCCACTGAAAACCTTCGAAATCGATCACGATGGGAGAAGACATGTTAGCCATTCGACGTCTCAAACTGAAATGAACTATCGGGGCTGGTAGACATAGTATTTATCCCCAGGAAAGATGCCTGTACGAAGGCGAAGCGTTTCACTTGTTTCAGGTCGTAAATCAATCAACAAGTAGCTAAATGGAGTTGAAGTAGCATCCTGAAAAATTTCTTGAAAGGCCTTTACTTTTCCGGGGAACATTTGTCTAGCTAAATGCATGATTTTGACTTTTATCTCTAGGATTTTTGTATAGGACAAGGTAATGGGAATTTAAATGAATATTTCTCATCTCCTTGCCTTGGTGAAAAAGATTTTGTGTTATAAAAACGACTGAAAGGTTTCGGTGATGACTTCCTTTTGTAAAAAGTTTGCTTAAGCGAGTATCACTTGCTAATTCAGACATTAAATCGTCTATGATAATTAAAGCATTTTGGAGAGTCTGCAGGTTAGATGGTAATCCTTCTTCAAAATTTACATTTTTCATGGAATTAAAAAGAGGTTGATAACTTCCGTAGCAATAAATAATATTGGTCGGCATGGGATGGAACATTTTATGATCTATCAATTTCTTCACAAAAACCGTTTTACCCGAACCGGTAGGTAGGTCCGCTCAGAAGACAAGTAGAAGGATGTACGAACTTGGGCAGTTCCATTTTTGGAAATGACAGCATGTTAAGAAAACACTGACTTTTATACTTCACCGAAAATCCTTTTGCATAAAACATTTATTGATTTTGTTTAAATAAGTGTAGAAACAAGAAACACAAGAGACATTTTTACAACTTTATTTTTTAAAAATCATGTTTACACCATATCTTTTTTTGACAAATTGAAATATTTTGAAATCACGATTCTTCCCATCTAAGGGTGATACAATGAGTTCCATACAGAGTCCTTGACAGCGTTTAATAATAAAATAAATACAATAATGTCCACATACATTAGAAGTTAAACTCTGAAGTGAAATCTTGTTCCAGCAAACATGACAATATTTCTTAACAAAGGATGTGATATCTTTTCCATATACTTCAGGCGGGAGTCCATAAGAGTCAAAAAAATTCCAGAGTCTGTTTGTCTGCAATGTAGACAGCTAGCCAATGAGTTCCTTTTTCATCATGTTTATCAGTATTGAGCACCAGTGCACAGGGAAAACTTTGAATCGCAGGTATTTTATCACAAGGAAAAACACCCGCATAATATCTCAAAGAAATAGGATCTCGAGATAAGATTTGATGAATCTGTGATGAATTCATCAGTTTCCAAAATCGTACAGAATATTTCGAGCTTTATTGATTTCTATCAAATTTTCAAATTCAGCGTACACTAATAACGAAACAGTTTGTTGTAAGGGAGTCCCAAATTTTATTTCTAATCTTAAGTTGCTGTGTCGAACTAGATTTAAATGAGAGCCATCACAAAGGTCAGGTGACAGGTCGAAGCGAAATAAGGAATATCCTTTTGAAAATTCTGATCTTGAAAGGTAAAGTCCTCTGTCGTCTGCATTCATAAATAAATTCTGATAAGCTCGTATGAAATGATTTTTGTCAAAATTAGGCTGAAGAGGATTATGAGGTACCGGTTGACCCGTCCACATAAACGCCGATAAAGTTCATATTATAATGCTTGAATTCAAAAGGAGACTTTTTATAGTTTCCGTTAAAGGCATCATTATCGACACATGCCACCACAATACGATTAGGCATTTGACCTATGAAAATATTGTCTTGAATAAAACTCATATTTCCCGTTGGAATGGAATAGGCTTTGCAGAGCACTCTATTAATGGGATATTTGGCTGTTGATTTTTCTAGGCTTTTGGCATGTCCTAGCACAACACCCGGACTGACTCTCACTTTGCGTTACAAACAATGAAGCTTGTTCGAGTAAAACTTTAAATTCACCTTCGCCCAATAAACAAAATTCTGGTTTGCTGCGTATGAGTTTAATTTTCATATCCACCATATTCAGCAAAAGTCTTTCCTGATGAAACATATCCAAGTGCAATCGGCCAATCATATCGACCGAAGCACTCAGTTTAAACAATTCTGCTCGTTGGTTGAATCCTTCATTCGGCTGAGTGTCTTGAATATCAAAAACGTTCATACGTCCTGCTGTATCTTTGAAAAAACAATTCTGATGACAGTTGAGACGTTTTCGTATCAAAACCATGATTCAATAATTTTTCTATCATGGCTCTGTAAGGATACGTGTTATTACTGGTGGAAACGAGTCTTTCATTTAAGCTAATATCCACTTGAGAAAACATAGAATGTAAAAAGAGATTGACAGGTCCCACTTTACTTTCAGCCGTGATTGGCTTGCCATCATTTTTTAAAATTTTCACTTTGACGTAGAGTTGTGTCTGTGATAAGTCTAGGTAGTCGTCTCCGCTTCCAGAAACATTGAACTCGACAGGACTTCCTTCCGATACATTGGCTAATGGATGAAATTCAACCCACTGACCTTTTTCGATAACTGTTTGTGTGGGTGGTAACGAAAATAAATCCTTTTCGGATTTTGCACATTCTGGAGAATCTTTTAACAGAAAAGCCATTACGAGTCAAAAATATCACGTCGTTGCACCTTCCTGGCTTTAGACGAAATGAAGTGTTTGGGGGTTTTGCGCTTCCTTTTAAACCTTCCGTGACCAATCATCTCGTCTGCTTTCTGAACTGCTTTCCTCGCTAATTTTTTGCCAGCTTCTTTAGATCTGGTTTTGAGGGAGACTTTAAAATTTTCTCCCGACAATACGTCGTTTGCAATTTGTGTTCCAGTCCGCAAAGCTTCTTTTCCAACTGTTTTGGCTCCACTCATAAAAAAAGGCATAGCACTGTGAAACAGCTCTGCAAAAAAATCCACCAATACCCTAACCTTTCTGTAAAATGGTTCCTTAATAGTAAGGTAGTCCATTTCCAGTTTGAGCTAAATAATAATCTTCAAATTTTTTCGTGCAACACGTATAAGGCACCCGCATGTTTGATGCTTCTAATCTTGCATACACAATCCAAATGAAATCAATTTGCAGATGAATGCTTCTTTTATAGAATTTGTCTCAGACGAAAATGCAACACAAGAAATACTTTGCCTCTTTCGAATGGTACTAAATCTCCAGAGTGAAGTCTTATGTCAATATGTATAGTCTGAAAATGTTGACGGATAACTGGCAAGTAAAAGGGCCGGGGGTAATGAGCGTTTATGATGTCTCCGTCATTTCCTTCTACGGTGACAATTTTTAACAACGGAGCTTGTACATCTCCCACAATTTGAGGCTCTACGAGATCGCAATACACATACATGACAGGAAAAGATACTTTGGGATCGGCTACAAAAGGACTTTGCTTTCCAATCCTTTGTAAACACCCGGCTCGAACCCTAGAAGCTCAGCTAATCCTTCGTGAAGAATGACTTTGCAGTTTTCGTCGGTCTTAATGGTCACTTTTTTTCGTGACAGGATGATAACTGAATTCAATCTTATTTTTATGGGAAGGTATTTTCATGGCTTTTAATAAATCTGGTATCGTTTCATAACATCCTGGAGGCACTCTTCGACCTTCCAATTTTCCATCACCCAAATCAAATCCAAATAAATTATTGTCTTTTCGGACGTTATACCATGTGTGAGGGTAAATAAAGTCCACAAGAGATAACTCCCACTGACTATTTAAATCCATCGGAGTAGGAAGCTGAGTGGTAAATTGTGATATTTTGTTGTCTGGAAAAAAACGCATGGAGCTGTCGCTGATCAGTGTGATAAAGAAAGACATGTTTCGTTCAAATGACAGATAAGCAGAATGTACGGGCCTTTTATACCCTTCTCACATCATCCACCCAAGCATTGAAGCTTTCGGGGTACCCCTGAAATTTCACAAAATATTCTATTTTCCCGCGACGACGTTTCCTCTTTTTTAAAACTTTTTCTACGGGATAATAACCAGAGTCCGAAACCTTTTGAAGTTCTTGTTTGTAAAAAGTTCCTTGTATAACTTCTCCTGCTAGATCTTTCAGTTTATAGACAACAGGAATCCGTCGAATAATTTTATAGATTGTAAAAATTTCTCGTGTCCAGTTTTGTTCGTATCCTTTCTCAAAGAGCATTTTTTCTCGGCTGATGCGTACCGTATCTCCAATCTTTAAATCTGAAGAAATAGGGTTTTGTACTGGTTGCTGACCATACAGCGTTTTCCAAGTTTTTTCTTGATTTTGTAATGTAACGGATACAGGTTCTGTCTTAATACTGCGATGCCATGTATGGTTATAACAGGATATCAATTTGTCAATCACATCAATGTACTTTCGTGTATTCATTTCGGTAAAGTATTTCCACATTTTTGTTTTTAGAGCTCGATTAAATCAAATCGTTCTACTACAGAAGCTTTGGTTGTATTATGTGTCGTGAAAAAGCGAACGTTTCTCTTTTTCAAAAATTTTGAACTTGTTTATTGGTAAACTCTTTCCCTGCATCTGTTTGTAATGATTCGGGTGTACGTTCCGAAAATATCTTTTCAAAAGTGGATTGGATGGACACAGATGTTTTATCTTTGAGAGGGATAGCCCAAGCGTATTTCGAAAGGATGTCTATACAGGTCAGCAAATATTTATATCCATCATTAAAAGACGCCAGGGATTGCATATCCACTAAATCAGATTGAAATTGCTCGTTTAAGCCTCCTACGATGACTCTGTTCCTGGGAAACTTGTGCCTCAAAGGCTTGTGCAAAGTATAAGAATCCTTGGTTTGCAACCATTTCTGGATGTCTTTTGTTTTTACGCGACCTTTTAAAGCACGATGCAAAGCAGCAACACCCCCGAAACTTGCGGGGACCTGTGGATCCCGATAGGTCTGAGACAGAGCTGCGTTCATTGCAACAGTTGTTATGATCTAAACGTACACTGATATTCATTTATATAATTTTAACTAGAACAGAAAAAAATACCCTAGTTTCACCTATATAAAGATTTTAGAAAATAGGCCTAAAAAACAAGAGAGAGAAAATGAATGTTACTTAACATCTCAAAGGTTGAACAAGTAATGATATATATGTTTAAGAACAATCATATGTATATTCTATAAAAATCAATAGGTTTGTATTCAATAGATATTTTTTAAAATTTATGTAAGTAATCATTACAGATTAATTCTTTTAAATAAGGTCTGAACCTGGAGACAGTCATGAGATCATTGTAAAATAAAATAACATTTATTGAGCATCCTAATTATTTTACAAATATTCATAGTATTCAATACCTAAGACACCATTAGTAGTACAAAATGTGTTTCTTACTTCATCGAGTACATGGTTTAAACACACAGATTTTAAAAAGTCCTTGGTAATGTAGTGAGCAGGTTTCACTAACATTAAATAGGGTTCTTCACCCCAAATGCTTCCATAAAATTGTCTGGCGATGTCAACAGCATTGAATCTCAGAGCAATGGCATTCACAGTTTCTGTTTTATGAACAAGTTCTTCACAGTCTTTCAGCTGGGGATATTTCAGTTCGTCTTGTTGATTAAGAAGTTCTTCAAGTGACGTCTTTAGAATGGTTTGAAGTCGCGCTCTTCCCATAGAAATGTCAAAAGATTGGGGCAGATTTTCCTCTCTGACAGGTTCGTCGGATACGCTTTCGTAGGCTTCACAAAAGTTCATGTTTTGATAAACGAGGTTGGTGACAATATCGCTGATACGGCTAAAGTTGGACATCAGTTCTTCCCACTGCGTCGTTGTAATGCTGAGGCTACTTTTTTCATCTCCTTGAGCAGAAAGTTGTTTCAGAGTGAAGTGGGAATCTTTATACGTGACCACAAAATTCTTGGGCAATTCCAGATTTAGTGTCAGCAGGTCTGGTTCCTCCACTGTCATGTTGGTTGCGAGAACATTCAAACACCACGGCTCAAAGTTCACTCCTCGTCTTGTCGGATAGTAAGCTTTACCATATTTGGCATACTCTCGGATGTGCACAGTCACTTTTCCCTTGTAAATGCTGGGTCCCACAAAGACATTGTCTCCCATGTGAGTGAGCTCCTCTGGAATAGCCTCTTCGGTGAAGAGTCCTTTGCGCTGAAAAAAAAAATTAAATCAGTTAGCATATAACAATAAAAAAAATGGGGTCACATACAATATCAACTTTAATATATAAGCTTTTCGCAAATACGTACTTTTTTCTCGAAATGGGATGTTTCTTCTGCTTTTCTTTTGATACAAGAGCTAGCTGATTCATTGGGAACATCTAGGGTGCGGTCTTCATGGTTCAACACTTTATCGTTCAAAGGCATAGGTTCTTTCTCAAATAGGTTTTCCATCTGAAAAAAAGTAAAGACAAATTAAGCACATATTGCAAATTCAACTATTTTTAAAGATTAAAAAATCTAAAAAATGGTATATTTCAAAAAGTTACTCACCTCTCTGTGGTTTCGTGCCTGATCCATTCGAAGCAGTGAAGAATGATTGTCTAAGCAAAAGCAGGTACGTACACTCAGGGCGACAGGCAGGAAAGAAATGCGGAACGTTGCTCGGGATAACCTTATATCGGGTAGGAACTCTTTATTTCATCTGAACGGTGATTGGTTAAGAAACGGTGAGGTCATATTTCAAAGAATCTGATTGGTTCACAGAAAAGTATCCATACACCTTAGCGGAGGCATACAAAGGTGTGATACGGCAGACGCCATTTTGTAAAACAACATGTCCCAACAAGAAATGGATGATGTCATTCCAAACACGTGGTTCAAGAGTTCGTTGCCACAAAACCTAAAAATATATATTCGATGCCACACCATAAAAACGAAACTCAACACGATTACGTCATCCCATCCATCTACGTCACTTCCGGTTATCACGTGATCCAAGATGGCGCTGGTGTCGTCACTTCCGGGGATATTCAAAATGGCGGAGGCCACGCCCCCATTGCGTCAACCATTGTTCTATTACCTCATGGCGGCATCCTTTGGGCTCCCGGTTACGGGCGCTTACTACTGGTGTCTCATGAAACAATGCGCTGGCGCGCTAATATAGTTTTAGGCTGAAACAGATCTGGAAGCACAGAAACGATATTCTTTCTGTGCTACAGTTATCAGAATAATGACATTCAATTCCCTTGGATATCGTTTTGAAAATTATTATTTAAATTTCTTCCTTATTAAACACCCCTCTAAATTTCTTTTAACTACTAGAAATGACTAAAACAGCATCAGAAATCTTTTTATACATTTCACTACATTAATTTTGTATATTTCAGTATATTTTTTTATATTTCACTACATACATTAAATGCTTTAATAATCACTACAATATATATTTGCATTATAGAGATTATTTGAGTTTTCGAAGCAAGAAGCGTGAAAAGCCAGTTATACTCTAACCGCGACTGATCCGAACGAAGCATTTTCTAATTCTTAGCTGGATTTTGTTAATTACTTGCAGCATGACAGCACGTCGGGGAAATAAGAAAATTCCTTTTGATATATTTTACTTTCTTTTACGTTACTTTAATTTTAAATCTTATAATTGTTTAGCCAATGTTTAGGATGAATCGAATTATTTATTGCCAATCTATCAGATTTATCAAATAATATTTTTCATCCCTTATGGAATTAAACAGTTCAACACGTAGTAATAAAATGAGAATTCACTACTCCAGACTAAATGAAAGCTCTGAACATTTATTTATGCAATGCTATAATTCCTCTTTGCTGCCGTTAATCATCAAGCCCTTACACTAGGCTACAATTTCTGTTACTTAAATCTCTTTCTTGCAGTTCATTCGTTTTACCTAAAAAAGCACCTTTCCAAAGAATTTATATATTCTAGAACTTCTGAAGTTTATTTCTAACTAATTAACTTTTAACTAACGATTTATGATTTGCTAAAATAATTAGAAAGTTTAAAATAACAGATGAATATTTTCTATAGCAACTGAGATTTTCTAGAATACAAAACTCATTTAAGAGAGATTTTAAACATCCATCATAAATTAATTTCAGTATTTTAGTTTTTTCGAAGATTCTTTTATCTCCTGCAATGTGGAAACAACCCCTGTCTTCAACATTTCGGCTTATATACAAAACGTTATTTAATCAGGTTTGTAAATTTACTGTCATGTGATCGAAAAATTGCGTATGATCATTAATTCATGCAAGACGAGCTCAATTCCATTGGGTTATGTTACATTGCCCTGACAGGAGTTAAAATTGATTTATTCTATAATTTATACATCCGTTGTTAAACATACAGCTTGTCACTTTAACTGTCTTTATGCGGTGTTATCCTTGATTATTTAGTAGCGTAATTTAAATAGTTCTGTTTCGTAGTTTTATTAAAAGTCACTGATTATTTACAAGCAAAGTTGTAAGCATTTTCGGGTCTTAATGTCTTAATACATGTATTAGTTATTCCTCGGATGTGCTTTCCATCGTACATTATAATCCAACATTATAAGAGAAAATTTTGCTTTAAAATATTAAAAATCTTTCGATCATTTTTAACCATTCAATAGCCCAAAACTGAATTCTTCGATATATTCATAATTAAATTATTCTACAAATTCAGTTCTGACTTCAGTAAATTTGTATTCAAAATTCAGTGATAAAATTAAGCATTCAATAACCTTTAAGTAGTGGACCAGATGTGTGTAAATTTTGAAATTCTGAACTTAAGTCGGTTACGTTGATTGAATCATTATTCATGGCTACAATATGATTAAACAGTTCATGAGTTCGTCTTGCTATTTGCTGTAATGGAGCGGAAGATTTTCTAATCATTTTTTTATAGAAGATATATAGCTTTCAAATTTAAATGCACTGTAATTATCTAACGGCCCAAACATTTTTACATCTTCGCAAATATGCAGTAGGCCGTGAACATTATGAGCAATATACTGTTTTTCCTAATAAAGCCCAAAATTTACTACGAAGCGTTTTCATAGAGACTGTGCGTATTCATCAATTGCCGTCTGATTCTGTATTTTGCATAAGACTCTAATCGAAATATGAAGTAGTAAAAAATTATTATGTAGCTTTTTGTTAAATTAAAAAAAAAATAAGTGTGCTAGTGTACAGTAAAAATTGACGGTATTCTGTAGCTTTCCAATGTTTCAATTCTTTTAGAGTTGGTTCCTTGGTTTTCTTGCAAATTCAATTGGTACATAAGGCTTTAAAAACTGGTCATTAAAAAAAAAAAAATAGTTAAACATTTTTATGTGGTAATCATGCTTGTAAGGTGCCTCCGCCTATGCTAATAGTAATAATTTTTTGTACTACTCCTAAGCACACAAGGAACATAATATCTAACGGAATATTTATTAGTCCTATATTTGGAATATTCCTTAAAATGGGATAATCGTTTTGGTAATCGTCATCAGTCAGTTCTTCTTGAGACATAAAAGTTCATATTTCGAATCACAGTTTGAAATGGAACTTAAAGAATATTTGCTAGCGCGAAAATTCGACACAGTCCTTTTTCATTATTAAATACTACTTCATCTTCTGACGAATCCGATAATATACGTTGATTTATTCTGCTGTAAATCCGTCTTTTAGATATCTGAGATAATTTTTTTTTTAGTTCTGATCATTTTTTGTAGAATAAAGGAAGCATTTAGAAACTTACTTTTCACACTCTGTCAATGTAACGCTTGCAAGCGTCAGCAAGTCACTTTGTAACTGAAAGAGAATTTGGAACGACGGCTATTAACGTTTAGCAGAATAGCTGAATTCTGGAAATCAGAAAGTAAGTACGTGTATTTTCCACTTTGTGGGGTTCTTCAAGGATATCACAATTACGGAGCAATTAAAACCGTTTGGGGGCGTTCTACGTCCTCTGTTGTGAAGGGATGTTTCCCTTGTAGGGGGATACAAAAGAAGGGAAGGTCTGACACATAAATCTGCCATGTTAACAAAGAGAAATCTTCTTGGGGCATCGGCTACAGAAAAAGTGCTCAGAGGTGTTACATTCTGAGCGGAGCTCGGTTTCTCAAAAGCAAAGAAAATTTGAGAAGAAAGCAGTTTTGCGAACAATGATAATGATGATCAAAACTTTAAGATTTTCAACTTCAATTGTTATTTATAGTATAAAATAAAGTAATAAAACTGCTGAGTTTAAAGAACGCGTTTAATTTAAAAATTAAATCATTTTAATTTAAAGTTTGAACATCTATTTAATCCGTTATCTAATTTTGAGTTTTCATAACAACATTTAACTTTGTGTTATATACCTTGAAGAAACGTGTTTACTGCATTTTCTGGATGTTACAAATAAATTAATAAAACAGCAATTATTGTTAAATTATGAGGAGTCATGTAGCATTGTCGGCATAACGTATAAGACTGCAGAGCGCTGGATATATTTTTTTCGCGCTTTGTTTAGCAAAGACCAAATATTTGTATGGTTAAAGAGGTAGCAAAGTGAGGTTTGAGGGGAGTAAGAACTTAATGTTAGTTCTTGGCATTCTGAAACCTTATTTTCCTATTACAGAGAGGTAAAAAATAAGTTACTTCTTACCTCAGTCGCTTTGAAAGACTAATTCTCATTATTAAAGGACTTACCAGAAAATGAACAAAGAAACTGCAATGAATTTTTTAGCCCAATAAAATTATTCTTCTGTTTATAAATTCAAATTAAAGCAAGTTACACCTCGTACAGACTAGTTTTTAACTGCGTCTGTAAACTAAAATTTCGCTTGTTAAAAAAAAAAAAATATTGTTACTTATTACTGCACAGCACTAAACATCATTCATTACTAATGTAATAGTGTAACAGATAAAAAAGTATTTTTTTCTTTTGCAGTTTCAAAGTATAGTTATTTCTATGCTAAGAACTATCGATGAATTTAATAGAATACTTTTATAACTTGATATTTCTGATTAGTGCCTCAGAGAAGGGTACACAAGTGACTGATTGCCGTACAGAAGGTCTCAAGTTCGAATGCCATATAAGGCATGGATGTGCATCCATGCCTTATCTGTTCATAGGATAAATGTCTTCGTAAAAGATTTTCTGAGTTAACCTGTAACGTAAATAATATTTGTGTTCAAAGATATTAGAAAAGTATCTAAAATAATGTTTACAAAATATATTATGTTGCAATTAGAATTTAATCGTAAACACACTTTCAATATGAAACTCAAAACGAATGAAAACACGTGCCTATAATTTGTAAGAAAGTTCTCTGATCAATAGGCACTATGAAACAAACAACAAACATTTAAAAATATTATTACTTAATACTTACAGCCAACATATACAAGACAAAAATCCAAGTGTGTAAGCATAACAATTAAATTTTCTTATGCAGAATTGGTAATCCATAAAGTAAGATTTCGATTCTTATAACATGAGTGCGTGTGGTACAAGGTTAGTTTAATATTTTCAGATATGAGCTTCCATAAAAAGTAAGTACTGAAGATATCTGAGAAACAACATCCTCAGGAGATCTACATATATCCCGGGACATTACGACTTGAACAGGACATCCTTAAGATGTTGATTTACGAAGTCCTCAGGATATCTGAAAATCAACATCCTGAAAGGATCTTCATATATCCCGGGACATTGAGACTTGAATAGGATATCCTCAGGATGTTGACTTAAGAAGTCCTCAGGATATCTGAGAAACAACATCCTCAGGATATCCTAACTGCTTCCCGGGACATTGCGACTTAAATAGGATATCCTGAGGATGTCTTGTGTTATGGGGGCATATATATATATATATAAACTACAAAAATTGTTGCGTAGATAATTGTCTGATCGCGTTATAAAAAAAACTAGGTGAATTATTTTCGGATTTAAGAAAATCTTAATTTTATTTGATTCTGAATTATTTATTTTAATGCTTTAATTTCGAGGAAAAACAGATGCTTCTAAGAATATTATTTAGTTTCAAAGAATATTATTTATTTTCCTTTTATTTGCAATTTTTGGCCAAGCTTTGATTCATTGTGAAAAGAAGCAGGGAAGGGAGGTGATTTTGCTAAGTTATGACTTCGCGGGTTGTTTTGTCCTTTAGAATGTTCTAGAAGAAATTTCTTTTGTGCAATTGACCTTTAGGATAGGAAGTACGTGACAGAGGTGTCAGAGGTTGCCACTTAATTTTCAATGTAAGTCATTCTGGTTTTGGCAATCGGCGGTCAGGTCATTGGCTAAGTAAAGAGGGGCGCGCATGCGTGATCAACCTAATTTCTTCATTCGGGGAAAGAAACGCAAATTTTGTCCAAATTAAGGGGACGATAAATGAAGGCATTGTGGGAGCCCATGTTTGTGAAGGAGACGAGAAGAATTCGCGTTTGAATCACTTTTGGACTGACTTTCCGACGGTGAAATACTGTACTTGGAGTTCTGGTGATGAATAAAGAAAGGTAGTTCGTCTTCCAGTTGTGCCTACGGCGGGGAACGTCAGTTATACTAACCGGCCGCGGTTTTCGCAAAAATGCGAGGGAGAAAGAAAAAAAACTGTTGAGTGAATGAAAAAAAATTAACAGAGACTTTGCTCTATACATGTATCGGCAAAACCCAAGGACGATGTCCTCTGAACTTCGATTTTAAAACGGAAGGAATTAGGTTAGCTTGGACTGAAGAAAAATCTGCCTCAGCGTTCGTTCTCTAAAAATAATACCTAGCTTCATAGTCTACGATTTTCCTTTTGGAGCTGAGAGTCTATGCGAACAGCCATGCTGGGCAAGTGGCTCTCTTGCCTTCCAGAGTGAAAACGTTTCGTCTGTGGAAACCAGTTACCCGGCCGCGTGTTTCGCCAAAAAGCGAGAATGAACTATGCCAAGGCAAGACGATGTCCTCTGGACTTCGACTTGTAACCGAGGGGCAGTGCCGTTCGTCGAAAGCATAGAATTAAGATACGAGTTCTCCACTTCAAGATACCTAAGATAAGTCCTTTTCTACGTTTGATGTATTCGTATGAATTTTAAGTGAAGTTCCAGAAACTTCCTTGGAATTTTAAAACTAACATTGAATCTTTAACTTTATTCTAAATGGCTAAAAATTGTTCCACTTTTTTCCCTTCTTAATTTACCGAAACAAACTGGAAATTCTTGATAAGTAACTGTGGTGTAAAAATATAGTTTGTTTTTGTGAAATTATCCATAGTGTAGATGTTGAATTTCAGATAATGTGTTTTTTTTAACATCTTAGAAATTACAGCAGTAGTTCAAATTAAATTGAGTCATAAAGTAGATTTGCAAATCATTGATTTAAATGTAAATGTTAAAAAAATGATATAATTGAAGAAATTCACATTGTGTAACTAAAATAAGAAAAATTGAGTCTCGAGTTACCTTAGGATGTGAAATTTAATTTTAATTGTTGAGGAATTTTGAATAAACTTGTATTTTAATCTGGAACCCTATTTCTTATGTTTTCTTTAATATCTATTTATGTGTTTTCTTATATGTATATTGATTTTACATCTTGTTTATACGATCCTCTCACGGCACGGTCCCTGATGCATTTACACAACGCAATGCACATAATTTCACTTATACGATCACAAAAAAATATAGAAATTAACTAAATTCTTAAGAGTTTATTTTCAGGTTGATATTTAGTTAGTTACGGCTTCAGCAATATCTGTTTCTGCATCAGTTTTCTCCCTAAGAGGAAGTAGAAACAGAAGAAAATGTTTTAAAGGACGAAAATATTCATGTCTTAGCAATGTCAAATTTAAAAAAAAAAATAAAAAAAAAAAATAAATAAAAAAAAATAAAAAAAATAAAAAAAAAAAAATTTGAGAACTAACGAAATCTAACTTTTAATGCGGTCTCCCAGTTCCTATACTTGTATTTGTGAACGTTTCATACCCGTTATTAATGAATTAACTCTAGTTGAATGCAGTTCATTCTTAAAAAGATTAAGTATGTCTCAACGGTATGTCTTCAAAAATTTAAACTACTTTGAAAATTAGATGAAGGTGGCGAAGGTATTTAAACCGTAAATTTACAGGAATTTTCTGTAGTACGAGTAATTTTCTGAATTGAATTCAGATACATATTTTTAAAGACACCATTTGAACAGTGTTAGAAAGCATTTCTTAATTTGTATATTTTCCGAAAATAATGAATTTAATCACTTTTATTCAGTGAAAATCCCTATTAATAAAAATAACGCTTTTAAATAATATACATTATCAAAGTTTTAATTACATATTTCTGGAAAGTAATTACTCACATTGGACATTGAGAATGAGGCTGTCTTTTAAGGCACTGTCTGGAAGATGTGGGTTTTGAGCTTTGCATGTCAGCTTTCTGGCATTATCATCAGCTGATACTATGAAACTGAGACTGCTCACTGATATGCTGCCATAAACATTATGTATGGCCAAAAGTGTGACATTCTCTGCTCCTTTAGTCCAATATATCACAGCAGGAGGTTTGGAGCCTTCACTCTGACAGTTTACTTCTAAGTTGTCACCAACTTTCAGGACACCAGGTGCCATTGTGATCTGAACGCTCGTTGGCTTCACTGAAAATAAAGCGCAAATGTTATCAACTGAACAAATGTTATCCATTGCAAACAATGATGAATACTATATTCTTGATTTTTTAGAGAAAATATATTTTATGGAATAAAATTAGCAGAAACGAATAGGACCGTTAACCAAGAGCTGGTAAATAAGAGTTCATGAAAACAAGTTTTATTTTTAAGCACAAATTTTTAGGTTAGTTCTAGAAATATTCATACCTTTATGTTTTAAAAATAATTAAACTCTTAAGGCATCATAAGAAATTGTGATTCGAAAAATCATTTTTTTGACCATTTATTGATTCTGTGTAACCTTTTCAATACTCTCTAAAATACCCAAAATACCCCCCCCCATTAACTGAATACTTGCATTTTAAATTATTAATATTTTGAATACTTGTACAGGTGATAAACACAGCAATAAATGACAAATTGCACGAAAATGGTATCCTCCTAAATGTGTTCATTTTTTATGCAGAAATTTGTTTCGGAATAAATATCAATTAATCACTTTAGTCATTTCAGACGTTTAGTGTTTTTTGACGGAAGACATATTAAATTCCAATTCGCGCTGTATTTTGATATATTGTAAAAGCATGCATCAGATTATGATAAAAATCATTCTGAAGTAATATGATGGTGCTTCATTTTGAAGTAAAGTGAATGATCCTATGGCCGTAATCTCATAAATTTACAATGAAAAGTTTTTGAAACAAGTTGAGCGAAACACATTTTGAGACAGAGGGGTTTAAAGTTTCTTTCGCTGTAAAAATATTCCCAATTGTAATTTTATAATAGCAACTAACATTTTCAGTTATTGTACTATAGTTTAAGCTCTTTTCCATCTATTTTAAATGAAGTTAATTGAAAGCTACGCATGCTTAATGCAAGCAGGATGAAATTGCTTGAACACAAAGGATATGTGTTCTCAAGAAAATGAGTGTCAAATATCTCTTAATACATTTATTTACATACGCGAGCTATAATCACAGCCAATTATAACATCTGATAGTTTTATGTTTTTAATCATATGCCCCAAAATAAATATCATATTTTCACTTAGCTTAGCTTAATGGCGCTGAAATGTTGAAAATATAATGCATATATATAATAATAGGTCCTAATAAGAAAACTTTCCATGTAACCATTTACCCTGGTGTGCAAAAATTAAGGACGAGACGGTTTTTTCAATACAACTTTGCACAAAAGCTTTCCAAATCAACACATTTAATACCGTAAGATCATCAATACGTAAGGACATGAGTAATGTAAGCAACACATACTAAAAGAGAAATCATAGGGATAAAAAGAAGCTTTATTGAAAAAGTAGCATGGAGCGCAATGCGTCTGAAGGCCGAAACATCCCTGTGATGGGTGTCCAGCAAGAAACATCCGGTCTCTAATAGGGGATATGATCTCCCCTGACTGCTAGGCAGGTTTCACAGCGTCTGCCCATGCTGAGAATGAGGGTGCCAATGAGCTGTTGAGGCATTGCTGCACATTCGTCTTGCAGCGCCAATCGGCGCTCCGGAATCGTTACTGGTGGTAAGGTACGAGCTGTCAAGCGTCTGCCTAGAAAATCACATACATGCTCGATGGGATTGAGATCCGGAGATCGTGCCGGCCAATCCATACGTTCAATATCCTCACTCTCTAAGAGCTGTTCGGCAGCTACTGTGCGATGACATGGTGCATTGTCGTCCATGAAAAGGAACTGCGGACTCATAGCGCCTCTAAAAAGACGCACATATGGAAGAAGAATATCGTTACAATAACGGGTCCCGTTGACTGAACCTGCGTCGAAGATGTGAAAGTTTGTACGACTACCAAGCATGATGCCTCCCCAAACGAGAACACCGCCACCTCCATACCTGTCCCTTTCAATGCTGTTCGAGGGATGATTGCGGCTTCCCCGCTCTCTCCAGATGAGTATGCGATGAGAATCGCTACTCAGACTGAATCTGCTCTCATCTGTAAAGAGTACTCGTCCCCATTCATTGTCTCTCCAATTCCGGTGTTCCCGGCACCACAGAGAACGCCTTCTCCGATGGGCAGGCGTTAGAGGTACACACCGTACAGGGCGTCGTGCAAACAGACCACCACCGTGCAGTCTTCTGGTCACGGTAAAACGCGATATCGGTCGTCCAGTCGCCTGTGTCGTGTGTCTAGCGATTTCTCCCGCTGTCTGCCGCCTGTTTCTTCTGGCCTGTAAGGCAATATACCGGTCATCTGCGGGTGTGGTTCCTCGTGGACGACCACTACTAAACTCCCGGATGCGTATTGGCAGACCGCACATTGAGTTGAACAGTGTTAAACGAATGTCGCCTACTGCGCATGCCCAGAAAACAATTTGGCGTAATTACTATGTTGGCGCGATTTGAAAAGAAGATAAATACGGTATATGGTAGATGTATCGCCATCTAATTTTAAACAAATCTTGCGTTTAAATCCTCGTAGAGTAAAATGTAAATTAATTACTGTGTTAAAATACTATTTTTTGCTGTACTGCTCAAACAACTAGAAAGCTGAAATTATTACGAAGTAATGTGAAACAGTGTTTACATTCAAAATGTAAAATATACTTATGAAATTCTGCACATTCCTCTGGAACTGTACAAATTTTCGTTCAGAAAGAGACTGAAATTGAGGATATATTAGTTGAAAATTTATTCATTATACTTTTAAGCAATAAAAACAATTCAGGATTTAACATACGTTCCGTTCGTACATACATAAAGAAACTCCGAGGAATATAACAAGTGCTTGCAAATAACACTGAAGAAATTTTACAATTCCTTAATGCTAGTTATTAAATTCTTTGAAATGAGAAAATAAAAGCGCGAATGTACGCTGACAAACTAAGCGAGATACTCCAGTTTACAATTACTGAATTATAACATGTAAACAAATTACATTTTAATAACGAATTATTACGAACATATGTTAAACAAATATAAATGCACTGTTATTGACAAATTAAAATGAAACATATATTAGAAAAATAAGCAAGTGTAATTGGTATGGACGTTAAAATAAATAATAAGCAAAGTTCCACAACATTGCAGTTTTAACCATCACTCGACAGCCATGGAGATCACGAATAAGCTAACGTAGGGTTGGTTAGTCGCCAATATTTCTCCCCGCGCCAAAGGTACACCATCAAGCATGCGCAGTAAGCGAAATTCGCTTAACACTGTTCAACTCAATGTGCGGTCTGCCATTACGCCCCCCGGATAGCTGTTCCTGTAGTTTGAAATTGTCTCCAAAGTCGTGAAACGATGCTGTGAGCAATTCCGAACTCTGCAGCCACACTTGTCACACTGCGGCCTTCCTCCAACTTTCCAATGATTCGACCTCGGGTAAAAGCATCCAGATGTCGTCTAACAGATTGATTATTCGCCATTTCTCGCTGAGGCAGCAACTCGGGTCGGTGTGATTTTAACTGCTATACGGCGTGCAATCTCTTTGCCAGAAATACTGATCTTACACCGACAACATGCTTTATACTACTCAGACACTCTCCCATTACGTCTACCTGCATCTCTGCGCATGTGCTACCGTACATCACCTTACTTAATCTCCTGATTGGTCTTTCTGTCTGCTCGCCTCTTCGTTCAGCTGATATGCTAATTTTTCGACTTCGTCCTTAATTTTTGCACACCAGTGTATTATAAGAAAACTTTCCATATCCAAGGAACACCAATTTAAAAATATCAAAGAATTTTTTTAGAATTTAAATTAGTATATTAAATAATTTAAACTATTTCACAATTTGTTTAAAAATTGCTCATAAAATCTTAATCCAAAAATACAAAAAAAAAAAAAAAAAAAAAAAAAAATTAAATTGAAAAAGTAGCTTTTTAATTATTTTGAATTGATATATATATATATATATATATGCATAGATATACATATACATATATATATAGGGTGATTCTAAATTGTTTTTACAAATTAAGAGGGGTGATAGTACCCATCCAGACAAGCAATAATTACCATAGAACATAGGGTCGCGTTCCACTCTGGCAAGCAGAAAAGAGGAATATCAGATTTCCAACCTGAACTTAAAACCGTGTTGGGAAAGAGAATAAACGAAATCAAAAGTTAAACAATCTGATTTATTGTTTAGTGAAAAACTCGCAGAAAGTGCTCAAAATGCTGACCACGCGTGTCGTTGCACAGTTGACATCAGCGAAGGAACGACTGGCGCATCCTCTCGAAGATCCCCGGTGTCGTGTTAATTTTATCTGGGGCAACAACGATTCTCTCCACCAGATCTTCAGGTTCCACACGGTTTTCGTACACTTCTGGCCTCCCGGAAGATAACATCCAGTGGGTTGAGGTCCGTTGAGCATGGTGGCCAAGCCACAGGTCCACCACGTCCGATCCATTGTGCGGAATATGTGGCATTCAAAAAGGTACTGACCTTGACGGAAAAATGTGCTGGGGCTCCATCATGCTTAAGCCACATGTCTCTCTGGATGGGAGCGCAACAGCCTGCAATAAACTGGGAAGCACCTGTCCCAAGAAGATACGCTATGTTGCGCCAGTCAAACGGTCTGGCATGATGTAATGGCCTACCAAGTAATAACCTAGGATATCTGCTCAGACGTTCACGGAAATTTTCTGCTGGTGTTAATGAGGGATAATGCAATGGGGATTGCTGTCAAACCAAACGTTTGATAGTGCACGTTCAAAATGCCTTCTCTACTGAATGTTGCCTCATCACTAAATAATATTAATGCAGAAAGTCGTGAATCATTATTCCTCCTTCCAAGCATTCACTGCACAAAGTCTGCCCGGCACGGATAATTATATATGTTCAAGGACTGCACTTTTTTGCACGTGTTAGGGGTGCATGCATTCCTCGTGTAAATTACGCCACACCATTAGCTGAGAAATACCCATTTCGTATGCCACCGCTCTCGTACTTGTGAATGGAGCTGCTTCAAATCTAGTCAAAACTTGCTCGTCCATTTCTGGTGTTCGTGCATTTCGCGAACCTTCTTCATTGCTTTTTGAGATGGAAAAAGAATAGGGTTCTCGCAGACTTCGATCAACACTGGAAAAGGTTGGATGACTTGGAATCCGACGAGTTGAGAAACAACCGTTCGTACAATCTTCGTGCCTCGCGTCCGTTCCCTTTGCTTCACCGCATGTGAGATGATAATCTGCCAATTCCTCGTACGTGTACTCCGCCATAGCATTCACGAAACGTTTCGGACGATGTTATCAAGGTAGCTTGAAGCTATGTTGTTGTGCCGTTTACAAAGACATCGGTTTGCTCTAATTGGCTTTCTCCGGTGCCAACTAAGAGCAAAAGTATGCTTCATCTCAGTGCGAATTTGCATACAGTTAATTATTGATAATCGTATGAGGTAGTCTCTTTGTTCTTCTTCGATACGTTTCTTCTTTCCTCTTTTCTGCCTCTCAGAATGGAGTGCGATCCTATTTTCTATGGTAATTATTGCTCGTCTGGATGGGTACTATGTTATCAAGTTTGTATCCCTTAATTTGTAAAAACAATTTAGAATTACCATGTATATATATATATATGTATGTATGTATTTGTTTTACATACATATAGATATAAATGAATGTGTGTATATATACATATAGCTATACATGAATAAACAAAAAGTAAAAAGCTGTTCAAACCCTAATCCAGTTGCGCCCTGAAAATAGCAGCAATTGTTGGTAATTATGTAAAATAAATAACACGTTAAAAATTTACTCCGCATTCATTTCGGAATAAACCATATGCAAAAGAAAAAAAAATCATAAACACTTGACAAACTGCAAGAAAGTCTTTCAGGATTTACAATACAGGTAATTCCATGATTTTTTTACTTTTACAAACTATTCATTTTTACTCCACAAACAGAAGCTTTTTCTAATTTTTTTATTACTTTCAATCAGTTTAAAGTTCATAAAATTCATAGTTAACTAAAATTCCTTACTCAGAACATTTTGGGCGTAGTAACAGTATTTTGCTAAAAAGCTCGAATATATATGTTTCTTTTATTTTAAAACTTTTGCTACTTTAATGCTACAGATTTTAAAAACTAAACCTTTAATTTGAAAATTTACATATATATTGGATTGCTTATATTTCCATGTTTTGTTTGATGAGTCATTCGATTCAAAATGACATTTTTATGTTTCTTTACATTTGTTTATGGTTTTAATGCTATATGTTTGCAAACTTTTACATTGCTTACTTTAGACTGTAGGCGCTAGCCTGATAGAGACATGCATTACTTTGATTGTTTTTTAAGCTTTAAACTTTAATTTGTTTCTTTACTGATTCAAAAATAGGCTGATTTATCAACTGCTTTCACTGAACCACCCTCCTGATGAAGATGCAGTGAAAGATGTAAAGTTCTTAGTTCATTTTTGGTTTTGGCATGTTTTGCATCCTTTTTCTTGTAATTTGCCACTGTGCTTCTGGTTTTTGATTTTCGCATATGATTTATTCCATATTGCATATGGGATGGATTTTAAATATTATAACTATTTAGATTATATATATATTCCTATATTTTTCGATTGCTCCAAAAATGGAAGTTTACTCGCATTCTCCACGATATTTTGTCTCGAAAATATGCAAGGAAAACTTTTATCTTCAGCTGTCAAGTTAACCAAGTTTAAAATCAATGCATAAAAATGCGGTATAATTAAGTCAATAATAAATGATTCGCAAATAATCAATCAAGCATATTCAATCATTCACTTTTATGAACAATTTTAATTTTAATTATGAAACAACTTTATATATTGTAACAATATCTCACAATTTAAACACTTCAGCTTCCGAAATTGGGTTTTTACTCTGCAAAAGGGAGTGATGTTATTACGAATATAATTTTAATTCAACGTTGTTCTTTAATCTCACGTTTCCAAATAAAATTTAAGCTTTGAAGATGATTTTTAAGAGATTTATGACTTTTCCTAGAAAAACATGGAGCTTTATCTCCTTTCATTTCACGAAACAAAAGGACAGAAATAAGTAAAACGCATTTCTTTGTGTGAAATGTAATTTGTTTTCTTTCCCAGTTTATGAAGAACAGAATTCAGAAAGAAATAAATCTAATTTTTAGAAAAGTTTCCTCAAAAAACTTATTATATTATATATTTAAAAATTATGTAAACATGTTGTGACCAATAAAGAATTGAAATTCCGCATAGGAATATATTAAAATGGATAAAATACCATGCAAAATACTTAATGTAAAAATTATAGACTACTTGATAAATTACATTTGTTAGTATTTAAAATACGTATAGGAAATGCTACCTTCCAAAAAAAAAAAAAAAAAAAAAAAAAAACTTTATAATTTAGATATGTTTATTTCTTCGGAATAGTAAAATATATTCATGCATTTAAGACGAAATACGAAACATTATTTCGAAAAATAAAAATAAAGAGGACTTTCATAAAGTACATTCGATAGTGATCATAAAAAAATATAAAATGAGATACAGCCTACACAAAGTGTAATAAAATGTTTTAAACATCTACTGAATTTACAATATGTAACGCCTCAAACGCACTAACTTCCCCTTCTTCTAAAATACTTGGGTAAATATAAAATGTGAATGTTAATAGTAAATCGAATTTTTTGAAAGTCTTATACAGATAGTAAAATAGTAGCACAAAGTACTAGCAAAACGTGAGTTTAATATACTACTTGTTTCAGACTTGATTTTTAAATCATTACTTATATTCTATACTGGAATTTTACTGCTATTTAAATTTAAATATTAACATGACAATAATTTAGTTATTATCTTTTTAATATAATTATGAAAGAAAGCATTTCCTTTTTGTGATCTTCCCCTTACACTACTCAAACGCAAACAACAGATTCTCATGCAAAAATGCACGAAATATCCCACATTTTCAGTTCTATTCCTAGGAATTACGCTTATCTTGATAAATAAAATAAGACAAACAACTGTTTCTCTGCACTCGAAGCTAAAAATTGTTCCTTAGATTCAGTCAAATTAAAAAATAATCCTCTGTTGCACAATACAGAACATAGATGTAAAATCTATGAACTACAGATCTCTTATTTTTAAACATTAAAAATATTATTAGTTGTTTTCCTCTCACATTTTATTACCTAAAAGTGTCCTGGATTAAAACCTGTTGCAGATGTATTGTGAAATTAACTATCTCGTTATCGAGCATTTAAATTTAGATAATTTGGGATCGAGCGATTAAAAGATCGATTTTATATCCTCTTCACTGAACCCAAAGCAACTGAACTGCATTTATAATAATCGTGTAGAGCAGCAGCGGTTCTCAACCTTTTGACTAAAACATACCCATCTAAACAAAAATTGAAAACCTTTAGTACCGCCACTACAATGTACTACTACCACCACCACTCTTGAAGAAAGCTCATAGATCGCATAAATTTACGACTGTTAGAGAAAAGACTCAATCAAGATATTGGGGATTTAATTTTTAAATTTAATAGTTAAAATTACTTTGCTTCTTTTGCATACAACCTATTTTCCTCTTACGTACCAGCGGTTGAGAACCTCTGGTGTAGAGTATACTTCATCCTATAATTATGAATATCTCTTTTCTACTCATTTAGAATAGTAACATATTTTCTCTTAGGTATAAGTACACAGTACGTATCATAATTACTGAAACGCATTCATTTTTCCATTCGGCTTTTAGCGCTAATACAATTTCCTCGACTCAGAGTTCTCTCGGCATTTAATAAAAGTAATATAGCAATTAAAAGAGATGGCATTTAAATAGAAAGCCCATTTCACTACAGTTATTGCATGGGCATTTCTGTTATAGGTAATTGCAATAATTATCAGAAGATCATGTTTATGCTTTAATCAATTTTTGAAATTAAAAAAGTAATGTTGTGATGTCAGATTATTGAAGTTTATTATTAGAACGCATCTATTTGATTTCAAATTCGCATCTGTAAAAAAAATGGAATATGTATTACTGCTTCATTATGTGAAAAGGAAATATATCCTGCCTTACTAAAACATGAAGTAATGTCCAACATCTTTCATTTATCTTATATAGTTTAAAAATAAGTATAAATAATGCATATACATAATAATGCTACCTTAATACACACAAATAAAATAAAAACATAAATTATTTTTCTTTAATTCATTTTAATGAAATTTTTGTTCATTAATTATCGTCTTTTACAAAATATTCCAGCCTACTCACATACTCACAGTTCATGTCTATTGTCACAGAAGCATAAACGGCCGCTGTGGCGTTGTTATTGTGGGCTTGACAGATGAGAACACTTAATAAATCTTCTCTTCTTAAACGCTCAAATATAAGTTCATTCTTCACGCTCCCAACTTCATCCATAATTATTTTACCCTGGAGAATATTATGGCCTTTCCTCCATATCACATAAGGTTTGGGGCGACCTGAAATACATCCATGCAATTGCTTTAAAATCAACCGCACTTTCTTTTTTTTTTTAGAAATTATGCTTTAAACTAATGCAAAATGATCACATAGGATTAATTAATGATAAATTTTAAAAAATAATTATTTTATATTAAACAGCATTATTCATTAATTGGTTCTTGAATTAAAATAATGCACAGTTAAGTAACTCGAAAACTCGAGTTTATATTTAATACAAAACTTCATCTTCAAGATATCTGCAAATAAAGAAAAATGTGCTTACGGCTTTTGCTATATCATTGTGATTACTGTAATTTAAATTCGTCCTTTCATACAAATTATTATTAAATAGAATCCGTTTTATATTTGAAGGCAAGGATGGGTGATATTATCGATATTTCCAAAGACCTCTTTACAGGTAACTAACGATGCTAATAATCCCCTCTTTCCATATGTATGAAAAAAGGGAAAAAAACCCTATTTCCCAGTTTCATGCTTCATATCATTCTGAAATATTAAAAACAAATATCTTTATTTGTTACATCAAAATGTTTTTTAAAACAAGATTAAAATGTGTCAGACTTATAAATACACCTATTTCGTATTTATTTCATAATACGGTAAAAATTTTATTGATATTTAAAAATTTTAGGTATTAAAAATTTTATTTAGATATTTAAAATTTAGAGGTATTTACAACATTATAACAACATTATATATAAACATATCAAAAAGCGCATTTTCGCGAAGATTTGCTGTTTTGTGACACCTTTTAGGAGCTCCTTTATTGTACATTCTTTTTAAGTTATGCGAATGTGATATAAAAAAGATAGCACATTTTCGTGAAGATCTGCTGTTTTGTGACACTTTTTAGGAGCTCCTTTATTGTACATTGTGTTTAAGTTATGCGAAAGTGATACCAATAACAGTATTCAACAGTATATAACTGTAACCATTTAATTGACGTATTAACGTTGTATAGACGTTCTTTATTAAATGTTCGTGACGCGTTATATGAAATTATCATTAACAGCGGTATTGCACGTCTAAAATGTCTAAAATTATTCGTGAATGTCTAAAATTATAGAATTGTAACATATAGACGTGGTTTAAAACGTTTAGATAGGATTTTATGTGGACGTTCTTTATAAAATCTTCTTTAGATGTTACATGGGGGTGTTATTAACAACGGTATCTGACATGCTATCGGTGTTAGAACTGTAACATATAGACGTGATTAAGCGTGGTTCAAATGAATGTTCCCAACACGTTTGAAAACTTTTAAATTGAAATTTATGTAAACGTTATGATGCTAGCTGGGAAATGTGAAGTATTAAAGATACGACAATGATTATACTTACACATAATTTAGTCTTGTATTTTTTGGTCATGGACAATAGGATATATCCGTTGTTGTTATTGTATGATATGAAAAAGAGCGGTTAATAAAATAATGATGAATTATTTAAAAGTGAGGAAAAAAATGACATAAGTGAACTTAATCTCCATATAAAAATGCGATTTCACAATATATACAGCATAATTACAAAGTAATCATTTGATGTAATCTCAAAATAATTATATATTTGAAAGCTTTTTTTCAATGCACGTCAATGTAATAATGAACTGAGAAACCGTTACTTCTTCTAGCGAAAGGATTAAGCATTGGTTTTAATTTTACAGAAACTATCACACATGTCTTTCTTTTTGAAACAACAATGACAATTGTTTCATACCATGTTCTATCAAATATTTTGATTAAATTAAATAGAATAACGCATATATTTAGTAAATAACTTGTCTGGCAGGCTGACATTGCAATATTTCTTACCATTTATTTTATCTAAATATTTGAACATTTTTTTTTCAATTGAAATTAATTTAATGAATGTGCCTATTCTATGAGTAACTGTCAACTCTTAGGATAAAAATTGTAAGTCTGAATTAACAGCTAAAAGTGAATGTTTTCAAAAATAATGTCAATATTATTCAGCCCTTTATTTAGATTACATTACTAAATTAAATTATTATAGTTATACATTTTTAATTGCTTTAAAGAAGTCTGAAAACTGAATGCTAGAGACAGTGTTAATTTATTTATTGTTTACGCATTTATCGAATCTTTATTTTGTTCTCATTTATCATCTTGACGTCTTAAAACACAATCGTCAGCAAAATTATGAAACCTTACAAAGTATTGCTCTTTCTACGAAAGCAATTGTACCAGAGGTACTAATTTTGCTGCCGAAGAATTATTCAAATATTCAAAATCGAATAAGTGAGCGTACACATGCGTGCATATGGAGATGTGTATGAAGGGGATATAAGCCCACTAGCGTGTTTCGGCAATTCATGTGCTCGTAATCAGTCACGACATTCGCCTTGCTTCTCGCAAAAGGTGGATAGATTTTATAAGATACCAGGTAAAATGAGTAGCTTCTAACGTTTAAATGATGGAATGAAATGCAGAAATGACAGTAGAGGAAGGCCAGTCAAAAGCGCAGGTGGCTACAAAATTCAGTGTAATGTCCGGTGTCATCTGCAATTTGGGGAAACGATTTCAGAACACAGTATATCCAAATCAAGATGACCTAAACAAGGTCGTCCAAGATGCACAACAGCGAATGAGGATTGTTATTTAGAACTTTCAGCACTAAAACACAGGACTGCTACGGCTTCATAGATCTCACGTGGGCTATATGCTGCCACTAGAGTCTGAGTTTCACAATCTACAGTTGTCCAAAGCTTCATGAGATTGGGCTATGTTCCACAAGACCTATCATTTGCGTCCTGCTCACTCTAGGACACAAAACAGAGCGGTTAACGTGGTGTAGACAACATCCGGCTTAGATCAGACTTTAGTGGAGCACCAGGCGTTTTACAGATGAGTCTCAGGCATTATGTTGGAAGGACACAACTCCTGCATTTGTTTAACAAAGACCTTGAGACTGTTTTGAGGTATAGAGAGATATTAAGGCCTTATGTTTAACTTTTCAGGAGTACACATTTGGTCCTGATTTCCCGTTAATGGAAGACAACGCTCGTCCAGATAGGGCTCAAATGATCGGCGATTAACCTGGAAAGGGTGTATATTCGTCGTATGGACTGGCCAGCCAGAATTTCTATCTTTAGCCGTGCAAAGCATATCTGGGACTCTCTTTGGAGGGCAGTATCATCTCCACATCCCCCTTGGAGAATCATCCTGGAGTTTACAGCTACCTTGCTATTGGAGTGAGATCGATTGGGACGCCTCAACTGCATCCTGTTTAGCATGCCTTCACGCTGCAAGACCTCTCTGGCTTTTAGAGAGGCTCATAACCCATATTAGATTCATTTTCAGTTCGATATCAGAATGTAGATTTCGTGCATGCCAGAACTATAGCCTTTAATGATAATCATGCGAACATAAAATGACTTTTCAATTATACATCTGTTTTCTGCTATAAATCTTTATTCATTAAAAATTTCATTTAAGGGAGCTCATACACCTTAAAAACCCTTAAGATGTTCGAATGTGTCACTGTTTCATAAATTGGGATTTGTGTTACCACAAATATTTTTATAATTTAATCTGTTTTGTGACAAAATGTTTTATGCGTTCACGTCATTTTTCCACATTGCGCGCACAGTTTAAAACTTTGTTGTATAATTAAATTCCATATTTAATATATACCTTTTATAAAATTTGGAAACTACTGTGAACCAAAATCCTAAGAGTTTCATGTTAAATTTTTATTCTATTTGGAGTTGAGTTTATAAAATGTATTTCATTAAAAAATGTCTTTTATCATGCGCGCAAAGTGAAAACATGATGTGAACGCATAAAAAAATTTGTCACAAAGCAGATTAACTTATAAAAATATTTGTGGCAACACAAAATTTCTGGTTACTAATTTATAAAGCAGCTATATTATGTAGTCAGCTGTACAGAGTTGGAAGTAATTGTGTAGAGACATTATGTATTTCTTTTGTAAGCAGTCAAGATGAAAAATTAGTAATCGCCTTCGCCGGTAATCAAACCACGGACCTCTGGAATACCGGCCCAGCGTGCAGAACCACTATACCACGAAGGCGAGCTAGGAAGGGGGGAGAAATACCTTATATACTCCCCCTTTTAAAATGCGACAGGTATTTTTAGGGGACCCAATCGCCAAATTCTGCGTGTGGAGAATTATCATCCAACACCCTTTTAGTTCGAGTGCCACTGTAGAGACATTAGGTATTTCTTTTGTAAGCAGGCAAGATGAAAAATTAGCAATCGCCTTCACCAGGAATCGAATCCCGGACTTCTGGAATACCAGCCCACCACGAAGGCGCGCTAGGAAGGCGGGAGAAATACTTTATAATTGCTTTGAAAATAAATAAAATATCCTAATTCTTGCAACAGTCACATATTCGAAGATCTTAAGGATTTTAAGGTGTATGAGCCCTCTTAAAATCTGTCTATTAGTTTTTCAGAAACTCCACGTAATATGCAAATTCTCTTCATTCTGCTCCTGAGTCTATAAACCCAATTTAACAATGCTTTAGCTTGTTATTATTTTTTAAACTAGGTCCGAATTTTTTTATTCTACATAAATCAAAGACATTTTTTGCGATATTTTTATTTAAGTCTTTCTGCTACATGAAAACTACGGCGAATTCTATTTTTTTATTATGTAATAATCAGAACTACCTAAAAATGGTACTTCTAAATAATTATTCATATAAATGGGTGCATTAATGATTTAAGTGATGCATTATTACTTTATCTAGTAAACGTTGCATAAATGCATTTTAGTGCGTTTCGTAGTATAGGTTTCTGTCTCGTTGCAGCACAGTCTCTGTATTGTGATACAAGACACTTCCGATAGCGAAATTGCTTTAGATAACTGTTAAATAAATGGAGAATATTTGAAGTTATCTTCCTCTCCTTGAGGCAAAATCAAGGGCGAAATTCTCCGATTAATTACCTACATACAGTAAGTTTGACAAACCCTTATACATACTCCTAGAATAATTATTTCTGATACAAGCA